GTATATATACATATATACATATACATATATATATATATATATATATATATAGACACACATACACACACAGACAACTCCATGACAATATGTGTTTTGTACAGCTGTTACACAGCGCAAAATGCATCAAAAAAAAAAAAATAAAAACCCTTTTACTGCATACCTCCATTAAGCACTGCTGTAAAATCACATTTCCAAACACCAGCTTTCGAGAAACAAGCTTTCACTGGATTGAATTTTCTGATAAATTCAATAAATTGCACTATAAAAATATCATAAATCAAAAACAAACATCATAAATCTACCAATATCACGAAAAGTGAAGAGAAAGCGAAAATTAGTTAAAACTGCGGTTTTTAATATTTCGAATTGGGCAGGCTACGGTGAATTATGACTGATAGACAAAACCAGCAATCACGTGTTCCTTACGTGAAATTCAATAAACACCAATAGTACAGCGAAATGGGTTTACTTTAACTCTTATGTGGGTTAACCTCAAAAAGTCGAAAACTCCTTCCCCATATTCGAATTCAGTGAGACACTGAGTCACTCGGAAAGTAGCCCGAATGGTAGCTGGCAAATGCCAACAGTACTCACCCACTGGCAAGGCTGTCGATGGCTTCCTCTTTCGAGGGTTGCTTATAAGCAAGTTGATGATGAGTTTGGCTCTGTGACAAATCAGTGCTGTACTGATGATTCCCACCCCCATTTCACACCGATTCTGCCATCTGTGTTTACAGCTCAGGGATGGAACAGGTTACCAAGTCAATGCACATACAGATTTGCTTATTTGCGAGATCTAAGTGGCACTTCCAGTGTTTTCATTAATTACCAAAATTTGATTGTGTTCCTCTACACGGCGGGCCAATGATGCTAAACGAACTGCATATGTTAACACACAGAAAATTTCAGGCCCCCGTCTTCTTCCAGTCTCCTAGCCAGGGATATTCACTATTAGCGTCTTTAAAATTTCTACAACATTCAGTACCAATTTACCATCGAAACGAATGAACGAATTGTAGAGGGACTGGTTTTCTCACCTGCTAAATAGATAGAAAGGAATGTGGAGATAGAAGTATAATATTTCATGTGAAATAAGCTAATGCGGGGCGGGGAAATTGGAAGATGGTATGTAGGAACATGTGTTATAAACAGTGTGGCATGCTGATTGTGCATGTGCTGAGAATATGTAGGGATATTTGTCTCTGTTTCATCCCTTAGCTGTAAACACAAACAAGTGAAGGTGTGATTAGAGGTGGGAA